CCGCTCCTTCCGGAATGGAGTCCAGATGATCATCACACACTTTGAGTGAAAACTTCTGATTTGAGTTGCTAGCAGAAAGAGCCTTGAGCCGTGCTTGAAGTGATTCATATTGTGGCTGAGGCTCTGCCAACCCTCCTCGATTCCGGGCCTCAAACTTCCTGTCACTAGCAACAAATGCTGCTAGAGACCTTAAATCCAGTGTTCCCTTCAGAAAATACTCATCTATTCTTATGTCTGAAAAACTTGGCAAATTCAGTGAAGTCACAAGCAGATCATAAGTTGGAGGGATCCTATACGTTATCCCCTCACCAATGTCCAAGTAGGAAGAATCTAGAGGGGAACCATACTTATTCTCTCCACCATAATCCGACTCAAAATCAGCATCAAAGTATTCTGGCGAGTTATCCATCTCACGAAACATTGCTTCCTCTTTAACAAATGGCTCATGGGTAAACTTCCCAGCCTTCGAGCTGTGGTTACGTCTCACATTTGGAACTGAAGAATCAGGAACCCTAACTTTCCTATACTTTTGTACATGATCACTAAGCATCGAGCGGTAATGATCTTCAGAGATTCTTGTGTTATAATCTTCATCATCTTGATCATTACTATCTGCATCTCTCCTACCATAAGGGCTTAAACCGGTCTCAAGTTCAAACCCACGCCTCTTTTGCTTCTTTGTGTGGCCTGAAGACCTATCAGTCATGCTTCCGTTACTGTAACCCGTCATTGCTCCCTGACCTGATTTCAAGAGGTTCAAATTGGGATTTTGAATTAACAAAAGATTTGCACATTTCCTAATAACATGAATACAGATTGACTTAAGCTTAAAAGTAAACAAAAATCACGATAAAATAAAAAAAGAATGTACCTTGGCTACTTGTGCTCTCCTCCTGACTGCTACTCCCATAAGTATCAAACTCCTCGCTAGGTTTCGGCAATCGAAAGTTCATCAAAGGCTAAATCCAACAAAGCAAGGATAAAATCAAGAAAATTAACAAAAATCCAAAGTACAACAGAATCAACACATCAAAAACCCTAGATTTTCAACCAACCCTCACAGTGACACCAACAAACAACCAAAAAGCCTAGAAATAGATCTAGAACCAGGATAAAAAACGACGCAATACAAGAAATTACCTCGAGATTGAAGAGATTGTCGTATGATAGCCCGTTCTGCTGCTGCCGCCGCGGTTCCATGCGCCGAATTTTAGGGTTAGGGTTAGGGTTTCAACAAAGCGAGGGGCTCGACGACTGAAACCCTATCGCCTTTGGAGCGGGAGGAGGAGGATGGGCGGGGGGCAATTTGGGAAATTAAGTTATGCGGGCTGGCGTACAGAAATAAGTTGACACGGACCGTTGGATTTTTTATTTTGCGAGGATTCAACGGTGGATCTTGTGGGCCGCAGATACCCAAGTTTGCTTTTTTGGAGCGGGAGGAGGAGGATGGGCGGGGGGCAATTTGGGAAATTAAGTTATGCGGGCTGGCGTACAGAAATAAGTTGACACGGACCGTTGGATTTTTTATTTTGCGAGGATTCAACGGTGGATCTTGTGGGCCGCAGATACCCAAGTTTGCTTTTTCGCTCGCGGGTTCAGAGTTTAGACGACTCCTCCCTTTTGCTGATTAGGACAGTTCTTCTTTCTCCGGTTAAATCGAATGTGGGCCCATGTTAATATCTAGAAATTATTTACGGCAAAGTGCAATTAGAAATCCATAAAAATGAATTATATCATACAGAATTTGATTAAGATAAAAAAAATTCAAATAAATTTTGCATACGTTTTGATTTAAAGTTTGTTTAGTAAAGTAAATGAAAACTAAACTTTATTGGAAAAAAATTGTAAAAAACTGAGAACTTTGACTGACAGAATTTAGAATCCGAACAATTCTTTGACAAAATTATTGATAGTGCCAATATTACGCATGGAACAGGATGAAGCCACATGAAGGCCCAAGGGATATAGTATAAAACATGATTTATTTTTCCATATTAACATGCATTGAGCCTAAACCATCAAAAAAATTTGCATTGAGCACAAGTGAGCTTCATAATGTAGCCCCTCATGTATTAAGCTAGATATAAAAGTTTTGCAGATATATTAGCAAGCTCATTTGCATTGCTCAATGTACAGCCTTTCAAAGTATACAAGATACGAAATTTCTGCAGAACGTAATTTGAAAAGAGGAAAAGAAATGAATTATTGCATTTAAGTTGTACTAGGTGGCATGCACGTGCATTGTACGTGGTCAAATATTTAATTATTCACTTTAAGTTTATTTATTTACTATAACATGGTTATAAAAAGTTTATAATTATCATAATATATTAAATTTTTTTATATTTCCATGTGTAAAATCTTGTTAGATTTAATGTTTTATCTTCTAGAGAAATAGTGATGTTTAAAGTCTTAAAATATTATTGATTTAAGATTAATTAGTAATTTGAATGTATAATTTCAAAATATCAATGATGTAAGGGACCAATATGGAAAAAAAAACTATTATTATTAATGAAGAAAATAAATTCTTATTATGAGATGAGGGAGGCCTTTGGCCTCCCCCTCATTATCCCTCCATTCACACCCCATTATGATGGTGTAACACCCCATTAAGTGGGGGTGACTCTTGGGTACTCAACCTATTCACATTGACTATCTATAAATATACATCATAGTCATAGGCCTTTGGCCTATGGATGTGTTTTAAACACGTTATCAGCACGAAGTGTTCTTGAATCCCTGAGCCATAAAAAAAAAAAATATATTTCCTTCCTCTTTTGCGCATTGAGATCTGGTTCGTTGCAGCGGGAGCGTTCGACGGATCATCGCAAGGAGGCAGCGTTCTACGGATCTTTAGTATCGATCGTCCCTAGATCTTTGATCTAGAGGTAATTACTATAATCCGTAGAATAATATATGACAACTGGAAAATTTAAAAAAAAAATTGTTACTGTTCACCGAGGGTTACTGTTCACTCGGGAATTTTTTAGTTTATTAAGGAATTTTATTGTTGTTCATCTAATCTAATTGCTTTCATTATTTGTTGTACATTTTTCTAATGGAATGCTAAACCCTTGGTTGTTTCAGAGTTTCCATTCAGGGCACTTGCATTATTTTTTTAATCATCACTTGTTATTTTCAAGTTCAAACTCACAATTTCTACATGATATTAAAAGTATTAAGTAGGCAGTATCGCATAGAAACGACAAGAAGTTTAAAAAAAAATTTGTTATGCCTAATTTGTTAATTATATAACAATTAACTAATAGTATTAATACTATTAATACTATTAGGTAAGGGTTTACTGTCCAAATTTGTTATGCCTGTTGCATATATTATTATTAAATTGTGTGGATGTTTAAATAAATAATGTTGTGGTTTTTGGATCAGCCTGTTTGTCACCAAATTTAAATTCCTTGCATTTTCTTTTCCTTCTGAGAGAGAAATTGTAGTGAGGATATAATTGTAAAAAGTCAAAGACCGGTGTATTCCATTGAAGACGAAGGTATTTTTGCAAAATGCAGGGAGCCCCTAGGGTTTTCCAAATTGTATTTTAATTTTATGTTTTTTGTTATCTTTGGACTGTATAATCGGACTTTGGACACTTTTTATTTTTTTGGTGACGGGCTGATCCACGCAACATGTTTATTGCATGAATTTTTAATTCCTTATTATTAATTCATGTCTTTCAAATGCATAGATAAAATGGCTAAAATAGCGAGCGTTGATTTTCGAAGTCCTAGACGCTGCTGGCAAGAATTATTTGAGTTGGCATGTGGACCTGAAGTTCCACTTACGTGCCCAGGGCTTATTAGCCACAATTTCAACTCCTGCTCCACCGGCTCCGGCCACTGTTACGGGTAATGCTGTAAATAATGCTGAGGTTGCTACTACAGTGATCGTCTCTGATATAGATAAGGCGAAAGCCATTATCTACATCAGGAGACATATTGATCGGACCCTGAAGGCCGAATACCTGACTGTAGAGGACCCAAAGGAATTGTGGACTGCACTTGAGGACCGATACAAACATCAGAAAGATGTAATCCTCCCACATGCATGTTATGAGTGGGAAAACCTCCGACTTCAGGACTTTAAGTCCGTAGCTGAGTATAACTCAGCACTTCATAATATCACCTCACGCCTGAAGTTGTGTGGTGAAGAAGTTTCGGAGGAACGCATGTTGGAGAAGACTTACACATCCTTCCACGAGAAGGATGCAATCCTCATGCAACAGTACCGCGAACGAAAGTTCAAAAAGTATTCTGAATTGCACTCCACCCTTCTGATGGCGGAGCAAAACAGAGAATTGCTTTTGGCCACTCATAACCTACGCCCTGCAGGCTCAGCTCCTCTACCCGAAGCTCACATGTTTTCTTCCCAGAAGCAGAAGAAAAAGCATAAGGGTAAATTCAACAAGGGGAAAGCCCCTAAGTGGCAGGCCAGATGTCCACCCCAGAAAAACAACCCGCCCCAGAGCAGCAATAGTGAGGGAAAGAAGAAGTGGAAGAAGAAGACCACTGAGCTGTCGTCCATTCCCAAGAACACTTGGGAGGACAAATGCCACAGATGTGGCATGACTGGACATTGGTCCAGAAACTGTCGCACTCCGCGACACCTCCAAGATCTGTATCTAGCGAGCCAGAAGTCTCCTGTTGAAACAAATCTGGTGGAAAAGCAGCCGTCTACTCAGTTCACTGCTGATGACTTCGAAATGGATGATCTTCTCGACTAGATCCATGTTATCTTTATATGCATTTAAATTCTCATAGTACTTTCATCTTTAGTTCTTTACTTTCCATGTAATGCAATTTACTTTTCAATAAAGATAGTTATTTTCTTTAGATTAAAATATTGCATTCATGTTATAGATGAAGTGTGAGTGCCTTGTGGACAGTGCCTCGACGCACACAATCCTTCGCGAAAGAAGCTATTTCAATAGCTTATATGATTATGACGATCCTGTAATTACGATTTCAGGACTATCTAATATAATAGAAGGATTTGGTGAAGCAATGATATTGCTCCCAAATAAAACGAGACTAATAATAAAAGATGCATTATTCTCTCCGAAATCTAATAGAAACCTCATAAGTTTCAAGGATATTCGTTTAAACGGATATCACTTAGAAACCAATGAAATAAATGAGGATGAGTATTTGTATGTAACTCGTCAAAAAGATGGTTCAAAAACTATCTTAGAACGATTCAAGGGACTCCCGTCGGGTCTCTATCATACATATATTCAACCAGTAGAAGCTAACATGATTATGCACCAGAAGTGCCATTCTTTGCCGAAATTTAAACTTTGGCATAACAGACTGGGTCACCCAGGATCAGCAATGATGCACCGCATCATGAGCCAATCAAGTGGACACAACCTGAAGAACCTGAAGATTCTTCAGAAGGGTGATTACTCATGTCTATCTTGTTTCTAAGGTAAACTGATCACGAGACCTTCCCTTCTGAAAGTGGGATTAGAGTCTCCTAGCTTCTTGGAGAGAATACATGGCGATATTTGTGGGCCTATTCACCCCGCAAGTGGACCATTTAGGTACTTTATGGTACTTATAGATGCATCAACCAAGTGGTCTTACGTGTGCCTTTTGTCCACCCGCAACTTAGCTTTTTCAAAGCTATTGGCACAAATTATTAAGTTGCGGGCTCATTTCCCCGATAATCAAATCAAGAAATTACGTCTTGATAATGCGGGAGAATTCACTTCACAAGTCTTTCAAGACTATTGCCTAGCAACTGGCATCGAAGTTGAACATCCTGTAGCACATGTTCACACCCAGAACGGGTTAGCAGAATCTCTAATTAAGAGATTGCAATGGATTGCTCGTCCATTGTTGATGCAATCACAGTTGCCTGTTGAGGCTTGGGGTCATGCCATATTGCATGCCGCTTCGCTTATCAGAATACGACCCTCTGGTGGCCATATTTTGTCACCAATGCAGCTTGCTTATGGTGCACCTCCGAATATCTCACATTTGAGAGTGTTTGGTTGTGCAGTTTACGTCCCAATTGCTCCTCCACAAAGGACCAAAATGGGTCCACAGCGTCGTTTGGGTATCTATATAGGGTTTGATTCGCCCTCTATAATAAGATACCTTGAACCCCAGACGGGTGACGCATTTAAAGCACGTCTTGATGATTGTGAATTTGTTGAGGATTCATTTCCTAAACTTGGCACACAGTCCAGGAAGCCTGACGCTTCTAAGACCATTTCTTGGAACACCAAGACTTTGTCTCATTATGATCCGC